CCCAGTGGTTTTTCCTACTCTCTTCAGTTTAAGCTTGAATTTTGCTATGAGAAGCTGATAATCAGAGCCACAATCAGCTCCAAGTCTTGTTTTTGCTGACTGTATAGAGCTTCTCCATCTTTGGCCGCAGAGAACATTATCAATCTGATTTCGGTATTGCCCATCTGGTGATGTCCATGTGTAGAGTTGCCTCTTGTGTTGTTGGAAAAAGAGTGTTTGTGATGACCAGCTTGTTCTCTTGACAAAACTCTATTAGACTTTGCCATGCTTCGTTTTGAACTCCCAGGCCAAACTTTCCTATTGTTCCTTTTATCTCTTGACTCCCGACTTTAGCATTCCAATTCCCTAGAATGAGAAGAACCTAGCTATACAATCTCTTTAATTATTTCAATTTCTGGGAAAAACAAAAGAAAAAAACATAGAAAGACAAAAACATTGTGGCACCTGAAGTTTTGGTGGAACTTTGTCCACTGCTTCAGACATATGAGGTGGAGTACAGAGATCACACAATAAAACAGGCTGTAACAGCCTGTATGATTCAAATGCCTCTTACAGTGGCGTATGGTAGCATTTCACATTCACCATGATTTTTGATCTTTGTTTAGTAGCTAACAAATATTTGCAACATGATCTTCAGTGCCGCTTTCTTTTTGTAATTTTGAATTTTAAGATTAGCCACTGATTATCGTTGTTTCTAAAATCTAGGAGCTACATCTGATCATTAATGTAAAGATTCTGACAACACAATCTTGGGTTTGTCATTTTAAAAAAATCCCGCTAAATTGCTGAGCCTTTAGAACGTGTGTATATATAGCATTGCTGTCGGAGGATCACTGAGCATGTGGCCATAAGGTGGCACCACCAGCCTCTGGTAGACCGACCGTGTAGAACGGATTTCCTGGTTAATTTGGCGCCATGATTATTTACCTTTTCAGCTTCCCAAGACAAAGGAAATAGATCGGTACAGCTAAAATTTCTTTAGGATGACGATTTCGGAACAGTACCATCCTCCCAGCAGTACCATTTCCCAACGTCACGTCTTGTGCGAACGTCCCTTAATAGGGTGGAGGGGAGACGCAAAGCGGAAGCTTGGTGCGAGTAAGGGCGACCCGCTGTGCTGTTTAGTAATTTCTGCTCTGCAGCTTTGGGGAAGATGGGCTAGCGAGTACCAGCCTTTGTTTCTTTGCAATATGGTCCAGTGTGTGGAGTTCCTACTCCTGTGTGTGTGTGTGTGTGTGACGTCACAGCGTAGGCACACTTTTTGACACTGCAGCATTACACACCGTGTAGTCCTCGCGTATTACTCAGAGAGAGGTGAGGGGAAAACAGTTGCAAAATCTACGAAAGCTCGTTATGGGATGATGATGATTTAGTGGTCTGTAAAGGGATCACCTATGTTTGCCTTTGGATTTTTATTTTCTCGTTACCACACGGCTACTCTTTGCTTCCATGGAACTACTTAGCAGAGGATACGTAGCACACTGGAATTTGTAGTTCTATTCATTTTGTCCAGGGCTGCCTAGATGATGAGGCCAGCTCCAGCGAGAAAGCGAAGGGTAGAGAACAGCAGAATCGGATAAGTCACCAAACATCTCCAACTGCAACAGAGAGAAAGCTTCGGCTGCCGTGTCGCCCAGCTCCTTCGCCCCAAAGCCCGCTAGTGGGCTGTTCGAACGGGTAGCCGTTCGCTTCAAGAGGAAGAAGTACCTCTCTTCACGTTTCTAGTTCTACGAGCCAAGGCGAAGGGCGGAAAGCCGGCCTCGAGGCGCCCGAGAAACGAGGAGATTTTTTTTCCCCGTGGGCGGGGCTCTGTCTCGCGCGGCCACTGGGCGGGTCTATTTCTATGGCGGGAGTGGGGCGGGCGGTGTTTGTGGCCTCCTTTTCCTCCTCAGCCGCGCCGCCGGTGGTAGTGCCGGCAGGGGCAGCTTCCCTTCTTCTCGTCTCGGCGCCCGCGCGGTTCCCTCGGCGAGTTTCGCCGGACTGGTGAAGCAAAAGCCCGCCTACCTCTCACACCCTCCCGGTGGCGCCGTCGTCTCTCAGCTGAGGCGTTGCGGCCTGGCCGGTGCGGGAGGGGAAAAAGAGGGCTGTTCTTCTGCGCGGGCCCCGGTGCCTGTTTGTGGAGAGGGCCGGAGCAGACGGCGGCGGCGGAGGAGATGAACACGGTGCTCACCCGCGCCAACTCGCTCTTCGCCTTCTCGCTGAGCGTGATGGCGGCGCTGACCTTCGGCTGCTTCATCACCACGGCGTTTAAAGAGCGCTCGGTGCCCGTCAGCATCGCCGTCTCCCGGGTCATGCTGTGAGTTGGGCGAGAGAGAAGGAAAGGCGGGAGTCTCTGCGGAGCCTCAAGGCCCCTTTCACGGACATTTGGCTTCAGCCGGGCCGGGGGTAGAAACGGTTCCGGTTCTCGGGCTGATGTGGCGGAGGAACTTGGGGTGTGTGTGTGTGTCCCAGGGAGTCTTGAGGGCCTTCGTTTCCACCTGAGGCTTTGCCGGTGTGTCCTAGTAGCGACGGTTGCCTCAAGGGGATGCCTTGTTTGCTTAAACACACACAGACAGACACATTCCCACGTTTAGGTCTGAGGAAGTGAACTGGGCCACGAAAGGTCTCATTAAAACACAGTGGTAAATCTTTTAAGGTGCCACGACCTTTTTGTCCTCTTCAATTTTTCTTTTGTTTTTATCTGATAAGCCCACATTGATGGTGGGGGGATCCTCCAGATACAGGACAACCAGCGTTGGCTGCAAGAGGCTTCGCTTGTGTTGTTTAATATAAAGCTAGGCTACAATTTTCCTGAAGCAGGTGGGGATGGGTGGGATAGTTAACATGATATGCATTCATATGATAATAGGCTAGTTTTTCCATTAACCCCCCCCCTCCCTACATACTTTTTTCTCACCATTAACAGTAAGTAAGGGAAGGGCATTTCTTTGTTTTTAATGCTTTGTGTATAACTGCAGTGTTGCTCTTGTATTTTCCTGTGTACTGCACGCTTGCATAAAGTTTTAATGCCATTTGTTCGTAAATTGTGGTTTTCAGAAAGATAGCTCCTTCCTTCCTGCATGGTTTGGCTTCTCATTTCTCTGAGCCAATAAGCGAACAACACGAACTCTCTGGTGCTGAAGTCTGTGCCCTCTGGCAGACTCCCTGGAGGGAGCGCATGGAAACGCAACCCTTCAGTTGGGGCTAGTAGACATCAGTGGTTATGGCCCGCCTGACAGCTTGTCATGAGGCATCTCTCTCTTTCTTTCTTTCTTTCTTTTTTTTGCAGGTTAGGAAAAAACAACTTTTTGTTTGTTTTTAGTTAAAAAAAATCTGTTTGAAGAGGTAACTACTGTGCTTCCCCAAAAATAAGACAGGGTTTTATATTAATTTTTGCTCCAAGAAATGCATTAGGACTTACTTTCAGGGGATGTTTTATTTTACAGTCATGTCTTGTTCTGATTGCTGCACAGTGGTGAAGGGTGGGGTTTCACTTAACTAGAGCTTATTTTTGGGGTAGGGCTTCTAATTACGAACCTCATACTAGGGCTTATTTTCAGGTTAGATCTTATTTTCGGGGCAGCAGGGTATCTCTGTGTGAATGGAGTTTTGAACAGTTCCAGATTTTATGGTTCTCACGCGCTAAGTGTTATATATATATTGGTGAATGTGGAGTTAACAAAGAACATATCCGCTGAATATGTTAAATTATAGGTTTCAAATCTCATGTCTGTGCAATGAAGATGTGCTGTATTAAATGAGTGAATGCATGATTGCAGTTGCAGTTTTTTCTCTTATTCTGTCATTGGATAAGATCATTAAAGTCATTTGCGTAAATGTCATTGCACAGACATTACCATAACTCTAGGCAAATAAAGAAATGAAAATTAAATGAGGCATATTATGCATATCACCTTCCTTTAGAATGATTTTTGTCTAACATTGTACGCATCTCTTTAATTTCTCCATACTTTTATAGAGAATTTTAAAGTTTGGTAAATGAGTTTGCCTTGACAACGTATTCTGAGAGAATGGGCAATTTTAAGTAGTTTTACTTGGGAAGCTTTGGAGGCTCTACTTTGTTACAGTACCATTGTATGTACAGTACTTGATGTTGCTGTGATCCACAATAATCTCAGCATTATATAAAAATAAATTAGGATAGCATGTTCCTAACACCCTTATTATTTGCTTACATTGCAACAATTATATGAAGAAAAAAGAAAGCAAAAGAAGACCAAAACAAAGAGAGAGAAACAAGATAGGAGAAGCAAGATAGAAGTAGAGTAAGAATTTATAAGTACAGACTGCAGTAAAATGCAACTAAGTATCCATATGGAATTAACATTTACATGCCACACATTCAGATTTCTCTGTCCACTTTGTTTTTTGGCGGTATTGCTAAGGAAGGTGTTTGTAAACTATTACTGTTGTTTGGTATACATTCTATTAGAAAAAGTATGTAGCAATACTGGCTGTTGGTTGTTGTGGTCTGCTTTGCACAGGATATGCATTTTCCCAATTACTCATTCTTTGTCCTGTGCTACCTGCAATGTATACTGAATAAAGTTCTTTTTTCTTCCCTCTAGGAAAAATGTAGAAGATTTTACAGGACCAGGAGAAAGAAGTGATCTTGGAATCATAACTTTTGACATTAATGCAGATATCCTTCATGTTAAATTTTACAGGATGCATTGGTGTTTCAGGTGAAGATGAAATATACTGTATTCTTAAGCACAGTTTACTAGGAGTCTGAAAAAAATACTTAAAGCTCTTTAGAGTTTTAGCTAGATTTAGATACAGAATATTTATTTGTTTATTTAATATGCTGCATCTCTGTAAGAACTGAGATTGAAGTCTATGTGTGATAGATATTGTACAGATGTTATGCTTTATTACATGCTGTCAAATCAAAACTGACTTATAGTGACTGTAATAAGGTTTCAACATAAGTGTATTTAAGGAGTAGTTTTAACAGTTCTGTATCCCACAAGTGACTTTCCATGGTTGAGCACATATCTCCAGAATCCTCGTCCATCATTCTATCCACCGCACCACATTGGGTACATAATACAGATGCTATAAAATAATTTTATACTATATATTATATTTTAAATTATGAGTTCAAAGATTAATTAAATAATGGGACTGAAAACTTTGTCATGGTAATGAATTTCCCTTCTCTTGTTCAGTTTTTTAGGTTGAAGTACCTCTGCAGAGGTTAAATCTGGTTATCTTTTAACTCATCTTTGTAAACCAGTTTTAAGGCCTAACCTCAAGCTTTGGCTCAAAGCTAGTCATGGTCACTCTGAAGGACCATTTTTCTAAGTTGATTAACACAATACCATAATCAGGAAATAAAGCATGTTGCTTTTTATATTCTCTTAACCCTTTTCACCACTGCCTGTCTTTCTTGGTTCTTTAGCATTTTCCCTATTCTTTGTCCACAAACAATATCATTTATACTTCTTCCTTTCTACGAACCTTGGTCATTTTTCTTTCATTCTTGATTTTTGCTTTTGCTGTTACGTTTCTCTCCTTCCTTCCCTACATTATATTATCCTTGCCTTTTTGCTAAGATTGCTTGCTAATTGTCCAGTCAGTTCACATGCTGATGGACTCAGATAGGTGGAATGATTGGCTGATTGTAAAAGGACAGACAGACTAGCACCAAATTTACCAAGCACCTTTGAATGTAGTCGGCATATCTGCATGCATCCTTATCCTCCCCATTATGAGGCTTCTGCATGGTGCAGCTATTTACATAAGGGCTTTTAGTAACCACGGCAAAGTCTCGATTTATTTTTTACTTTTCAAGTTTGCTTTGGAATTAACCTACAACAATAAAAACTATTAAATAATTTAAAACATTTTTTTTATTTTTGTAGGTTAATTACTTTTTAGTCTACAATTTAGTGTGCTTTTAGTATTGCTTGTTTTAATATTATGAGCCTCACTGGGAGAAAGGCACACTACAAATGATACAAGATAAAATAAAATAAAGTGTTGAGAACCTGGTACAAAAGAGTGTTTAGAACTCGTGGTAGGACTGTACGTGGTTTACTGGCGATGTATTACACAGTCTTGATGGAATGCATGCACTGATTAGATGGGATTTTTGACATAAAATGGCAAACTCACTCTCATAGCAGATATTCCTTTCGTTTTCCTCAAAGTTCGTTGCATTCAGTTTGAGAAATAACAAATGTAAAGCCTATAGAAATATTTTCGATCGTCTTGGCATAAATCTAGTAGCAAGTCCCAACTAGAATACAACCATGAAATCAGTTACCGAATGGTAAACCGTTTATATAAATCCTGTTAGTTCAATAGGTGTGCTTGATTTAGGACATTCATTTGGATTTAGACCTTTCAAGTTGTCAAATTGCTTTTTAAGAGGCTGCTTTAAAACTTGCCTTATGCATCTATACTGACTCTGAATGCTTTGAAAATAATCAAAATGTTGAATAATACATACTCCTTAACTTTCTCACATCTGCATAGTATATTTGACTGGAATGTGAAACAATTATTTCTGTATTTATCAGCAGAATATTCAACAAAGAACAATGTAAGTATGAATGTAAGAGTACATATGGGTTACTTATGTTAATGTTACAGGTATTTAGGGGAAAATGTAATATTTCCTCATGTGTAGCAGGAACTTTTATCTTTATTTTTATGCTTTGCTTCCCCTCTTATTAGCACTTTAAAAACCCTTGTGCTTCATTGTAGGGAAAAATAAAACATAACTTGCAATTTTCTTTTAAGTATAGGAACACATAGACAAATGTTTCCTAAATAATTGTGAATGGCCCACTGCAGTTTATCTATTTAGCTCCAGTCACACTTGTAACATCTACCTAATTTTTTTTCAGTTACCTGAAACATCCCACTTATATTCTGTTCTGAAATCTTTTCACTACAATAGAAGGAGAAGCAGTTTGGCGCTCAGCTCCCATTACTGTAGCATTTTAAAGTTAGCATTACCTTTCAAATTCTTCTTGTAATATTTAACTCATCACCTAGACACAATAACTGTGCTGTCAATATTTTCTTAAATAATTAAACATTATGAGATGGATATTAGTATATTATCATTTTAAAATTCTCTGATCTTTCTCATAAAACAAATAAGTACAGAGGCTTGAAGAGACATTGTTGCAAATTTAGAATCATAGTTTAAAAATGGGCTTGAAAAGTAGTTTTGACTTTTGGATCATTGCACCATTCCATAGTTGTCTGTTATTTTGTTACATTGAGTTTGTCAGTAAATCTGAAAGTGGCATATCTTCCACCAAACAATCAGAATTATGTTCAGTGAGATAATGCCACCATAAGTTTGTCTGTCCCCAGATTAATCCAAGGAGTACTTGAAGGTTATGGAAAAAAAAACAAAGCCATGTGGTCCTTACATGATACAGAAGCAAGGGCAGATTATTAGCTTTATTAATAATAACGTGTGCTGACAAGTCAATTGTGACTCTTTTCAGGATTCTTAAGATAAAGAGCAATCTGAAGCAGTTTACCATTCCCTTGTTCTGAGGACATCTGGGACTACAGCTTGTCCAAGGCCACACAGGCTGGGACTTCAGCAGGGGAACTCCCAGTTTTTGGCTTTGCAGTCAGATACCTAACTCTATGAGCAATTAGACCACTGGAAAATAACTAGTTTTTGACCTAATTGAGTCTTCATCAGGCTGTGGAACAATGTATTGTAGATAATGCAGAAAAAAACATATGAAAAGCCCAAAAGTCCTTAAAAGGTCCCTGCCAGGTCTGTTTCTTAAAAGTGAATTCCAAAATGCAATCTACAAACATGCATGGGATTCAAAATCTATCCTTTGTGGCCATTAGTTGAATTCTCTCTCCCAATTTATCAAGGTGTTCAGCATTTACTACTTCTCTATTGCCTTCAAAGAAATTCAAGTTTCCTATTTGCCCAGGGAAAGAGGTTACATAGAAAACTGGCAAACCCACACCAGAGAATTGGAAGTAAAATTTGTCTACCCAGTTGAAGCCAAATTGAGGGTATTACGTTTTGGCTGGAAGCAGACATTTTCTTGAATTAGCAATCCTATATGGTTGATATTAAGTAACCATGTTGTCTTCTAGGTCAGTGGTCCTCAACCTTTTTGACACCGTGGACTGGTTTTGTGTGCATGGGGGGCATGTGTGGAGAGGTGTCCGTGCGTGCATGGGGGGCATGCATGCATCTGGGGGGGACAGGCAGGCATCTGTGTGAGCAAGGGGGAGATCTGTCTCTGCGGCCCTGTTCTGCCAAGGCCACAGACTGGTACCGGGCTGGAGACCAGGGGTTGGGAACCCTTGTTCTAGGTCATACAATACAAAAGCAAAGGCAGATTTACCTTTATTGCTAAAAAAATTACTATCTTTTTTAAAAAGCTAATTTCAAACCTATACTGGTCTACTATACAATATCATGTAGGGCTTTGTAGGTCATAACAAGCACATATTAAAATATATTATATTAAAATAAAATTAAAGGTAGTTCTCAGGTCATCGTATCAATTTTAAGGTATGTTCATAGAGTAATCACTTGTTTGTATTCACTCCAAGCATTGTTCCAAGAGGTGTAAATTGATTACATTTATTCCAGATGTAGAATGAACAGAATCCCAAAGCACATATTTACACTGCATGTGCTGCTTTTTTATTAGATTTTTTGGTATATTTTTATAGAAGCAATTTCGCTATGCGAGGCACCACTGTACTCCATTCTAGTGTAGAAATTGTCAAACCAGGAAAGTCTGATAGACACAGTTACATATACAGAATCCTGTGTTCTTTATACAATGCACTTGTATCACATTTTGAGATTGGTGGTGAACATGAAATAACAGACAGATTATTATGTTAGTTCTACTATCCTGGTTTTTAAACAAACAAATAAATAAATATTCTCAAAGGCCTGTCAAAATAACCCAAGTTTTCAGCAATCTCTTAAAGGTAGCCAGAGATGGGGCCAGGGGGATATCAGGCAGGAGTTGATTCCATAGATGTGATGCATCTGCTGAGAAAGCCCGATTTCTGGTCTTTTCCTTCTTGAGCTCAATGCCCTCAACTGCCCTGCCTGGGACAAACAAGTAGGGTGGGTAGACCTCATTGGAATAAGACATTCTGCCAGGTATTGAGGACCCAAACCATTTAGGACCTTATTTATTGGTGTCATTACCTTGCAGCTGGCACAGAAACGAACAGGTAACTAGTGTAGATCAGCCAAAGTGGGGGCAATGTGATGGTATCTGTTCAATCCACTCAGTTGTCTAGTCACTGTGTGCTAGACCTGCTGAAGTTTCTGTATCAGTTTCATGGGTAGCCCAATGTAGAATTACAGTAGTCTATTCTCAAGACTACAAGTGCATGGACCAGCGTGATGAGGGGACCAGTTTCAAGGTAGGAACACAGGTGGGCAATCTGCCTAAGATAGAAATAGGCGAAGCGGACCACAGATGCTGAGTGTGCATTGACAGCTCTGGCTCCAGGAGTACACCCTAACGGTGTACCTCATATTTAGCGGAGAGAGTAACCCCCCCCCAAAGGAAAGGGCAGCACCCAAACCACAGACATTAGGGACATCCACCACAGGACCTCCATCTTGTCCAGGTTTAGCCTCAGTCAGTTCCCCAGAGGCCTTATATAGATATTAAACAGCAACGGAGTAATGGTCAACTTCTGAGGGACTCCACAATTGAGAATCTAATGGGTGGACACCATTTCCCCAAGTTGCAGTCTGGGGCCGGATTTCAAGGAAAGACCTAAGCCAAGCAAAAACCAGGCCACTGATCTCCAGCCCCGAGAGTCACCCCAGGAGTCATGGTCAATGATATCAAAGGCTACTGAGAGATCAAGGAGGACCAGCATGGACATTTTTTGGTTATTTTTCTGATAATGTGCTCTCAAACCATGTAGGGCTTTGAAGGTGTAACAAGCATATTAAACTGCCCAGGAATATATAGGAGTAGATAGGAGTAACCAAATAAAACCATTGTAATGTGAGAGTCTTACTTTTGTTATAATAAGGCTTGGTCAACAGTCCTTCTGTTTCATTAGGAACCAGCCAGTTTCCAAACAGAGGCAATCAATATAGAATGTATTGGAAGCCTTTAAATCAAAATGCCAGCTAAGGCATGGGGCAACCAACAATAATCCCCCAGTTTGGTAAACACATGTTGAAATTCAGGTTTATCCCTACTGTAAGCATTATGTTCTCAGCTGGTGACTCCTCTGTTTCCATGGGAAATAAGAAGGGAGATGTCTTGACAACTTTCAAACTGTTATTTTTATTGTCACTTACTTCCTCCAGCACATTACTTATGGAGTCAAATAATTTTCCGTATGTGCTGTCTCCGACGCATTTTTAGTATCACCTGACAGGACAACGTTCCAAAAAGAGTAGTCCTAGAATGAGCTGTAGTTTTAAGCATGTATACATTACTGAAAAAGCAATATCTACGTTGGCTCAGGCATGTTGTGAGAATGGCTGACGGTTGGATTCCGAAAGTTCTCCTGTATGGAGAATTAGTGCATGGGAAGCGCCCCAGAGGGAGACCACAGCTGCGTGTTAATTGGGTTCTTTACTCTCTCGGCGACTCCTCTGTTTCCATGGGAAATAAGAAGGGAGATGTCTTGACAACTTTCAAACTGTTATTTTTATTGTCACTTACTTCCTCCAGCACATTACTTATGGAGTCAAATAATTTTCCGTATGTGCTGTCTCCGACGCATTTTTAGTATCACCTGACAGGACAACGTTCCAAAAAGAGTAGTCCTAGAATGAGCTGTAGTTTTAAGCATGTATACATTACTGAAAAAGCAATATCTACGTTGGCTCAGGCATGTTGTGAGAATGGCTGACGGTTGGATTCCGAAAGTTCTCCTGTATGGAGAATTAGTGCATGGGAAGCGCCCCAGAGGGAGACCACAGCTGCGTGTTAATTGGGTTCTTTACTCTCTCGGCGACTCCTCTGTTTCCATGGGAAATAAGAAGGGAGATGTCTTGACAACTTTCAAACTGTTATTTTTATTGTCACTTACTTCCTCCAGCACATTACTTATGGAGTCAAATAATTTTCCGTATGTGCTGTCTCCGACGCATTTTTAGTATCACCTGACAGGACAACGTTCCAAAAAGAGTAGTCCTAGAATGAGCTGTAGTTTTAAGCATGTATACATTACTGAAAAAGCAATATCTACGTTGGCTCAGGCATGTTGTGAGAATGGCTGACGGTTGGATTCCGAAAGTTCTCCTGTATGGAGAATTAGTGCATGGGAAGCGCCCCAGAGGGAGACCACAGCTGCGTGTTAATTGGGTTCTTTACTCTCTCGGCGACTCCTCTGTTTCCATGGGAAATAAGAAGGGAGATGTCTTGACAACTTTCAAACTGTTATTTTTATTGTCACTTACTTCCTCCAGCACATTACTTATGGAGTCAAATAATTTTCCGTATGTGCTGTCTCCGACGCATTTTTAGTATCACCTGACAGGACAACGTTCCAAAAAGAGTAGTCCTAGAATGAGCTGTAGTTTTAAGCATGTATACATTACTGAAAAAGCAATATCTACGTTGGCTCAGGCATGTTGTGAGAATGGCTGACGGTTGGATT